TTTTCATAAATGAATAGCTATTAGTCATGAAAGATAAATTATATATAGGACCATGAGAACTAAAAAGTATAAGTGAGGTTGTAATTATTACTACTGAACACTGTCAATAATGAAGAACAAAATGCTTGAGATTCTACACAGAATCAGTGAAATTCAGCCAAATCCAAATCAAGATACCCCCAGTCCCACTCCTTTTCTCTGAAGTGGAAAATGGCGGCTAAACCTCTAGCAATGATTTCTAATCTATTTGAAGCCTCTGTTATTGAATGTGACATTCTAAACTGATGGATAAAGCTTTGTCTAAAAATCGCATACCAAAAGGCTGCATCGTCAAAATCCTCATCACAGAATTTAATTGCAAAATGTTGGACTCTTACTCAATTAAATGGTATACTCCACCAGAAAAACTAGGTGATTTCTTCCAATTTGCCTAATCTTTGGTGGCAAAGTTAAGCAATACTTGTGCTGGTGGGAGGTAGCAAGCAGTGGCGGATCTATTAAGGCATCTGGGGGTGCCACGCCACCCCCGAACTTCGACGGAAACTCTATATATACATAGGTATATATATATAATATTTATATTTATATAAAGCGTGCCACCCACAGAACAAAATTGGCTTGTGGTGCCACGGTAGGAGGGCAACTTTAGAAGGCTAATGTTGCGGGTTCGAATCCCATTTGTACCTATTTTTTTGAGAAAGACATTTTTTTAAGAAAAAGGAAATTGTTGCACACGTTCTTTTAAGAAAAATTAGAGAACTAAAATTAATTTATATCGAAAAGATGAATAATTTAATCAAATATAAAATTAATTTAATCGATAAGTCTATTTGGCACCCACGGAGTCTAAATCCTGGATCCGCCACTGGTAGCAAGTACCTGATGGAATAGTTGAGGTATGTACAAACTAGCTGGGACACCACCATCATAAAATGTTAGTATATGCCACCAGTTGCAGGTCGCTCTTCTCATACGACGGCATCTTATTTTTAAAACCAGCATATAGTTCTTATTTATTTGGGTTAATCATTTGTTCTTAACATCAAGAACTTCAGCAGAAGATGAGCTCAATTAAACAAGCTTCAAGATTGTGCAGGGCTAACTCACATGTAAATGTATTTGAGGTTTTCTTTACTGAACCAAATATCAATGTTCTAATTTTCTAAGAGATTTCATTCGAAGTGCTAAATTTGGAGATCTAGCCATCATGATGTATCTTTGTTGATTTATATATTACCATAACTTGAATTCTTGACTGTCCAATGCATAAATTGACCAGTCTTCAATCTTTTTGCCGACATTAATGTAGAAACTTTTCTACCCAAAAATTTCATACATACATAATAACATAAAAATAAAAGTGTAATAACAATTTGAACTTCTACTTTGACAGAAAATACATATGAAGCTTCTAACAGAAAAAGTTTTTCTCTTTCCTTCCTCTTTTTTTTTTTTTTTTTTTATTTTCATTTTTTTT